GAAAATTGGCCGCCTTATTGCTGCAGGACGTAAATTGCGCATATGTTTTCATACAACCACAAACGGTTCATAGTAAAAATACAAAATCCTGTAAACGGCAGACGGCATTCAAGTACTGCTGCCAGAAGGGAGTATTTAAATTTAAAATTAAGATTTAATTTTAAATTTTTAGGAAAAATCGTACTATGAAGATATTAAAAGCAAATATAATTGTAAAAATAATATCTCCAATTATATACATATATCTCTGAAGTAGATATTCCAATTATATAGTTGCTCATTGAACATGGAAAGCTTGACGATCGACACCAAACACCCCAAACTAACATATGTATTTTCTATGAAAACAATTAGTTATATTATTTTATTACACTCTACATAGATGTATTAAAACCTTGAACATTACAAAAGTTATTGAATACGGGAATATATTTTAATACAGAAGGCTCTGCAAAATCTAAACAAAAATTTGTTTGAAATGGTAAGTTAATGTCTTTATCTTCCTTTGTCTCAAATAATCAACATTGCATTGAAGAAAAATAAGCGATTCAATTATATTACGGGATGAAATAACTACGGCATGTAAAACATAGTGGCATGTAACCATATAGTGGTAGTAAAATTTGAAATGAACTACCACCAACCATACAGTGGTAGTGAAATTTGGAGTGCACTACCACTAACTATAGAGTGGTAGTGAAATTTGAAATGCACTACCACTGAAGCCCTAGTGGTAGTGAAAATCTCGATTTAGTGCAGCGTGCCCAACCCTGGTAGATAGTAAACTAATTCGAAAATATAAATCAACTAGCTTATACTCGCGGGTTTCACCCCACGTTTTTATACAAATAGGAAAAATAATTTAATGATGTTATATTTTATTTCTGTGCCCATTTTGTTATGGCTCGTTATTTTTTAAGCGAGTTAAGGTATTTAGGCCGTTTAAAAATATGAAATTATAAAATCTTGTCTGCGTGCTAGACATACAAAAGATATCAATCCCTCTAAGTTTACCTTAAAATGGTTCCAGGGATACGACGCGTGAACGTGTAACATTCTTGGAGGTGTCACGGCGGGTTCTAATATTTCCAACTCAAATTTAGTAACCTGGCCTTGATAAAATACCACTTCTTATTACTGTAGCTAAATGCCACAAGATGTATGTATGCATCATGGGAGCTTTAGATTATAAGGCCGAAGCCGGCTCTCCATTTTCCATTTAATTAAAAATTGTTTCTGTCAGTACGGAACTTATAAAATAAATTTCCATAACAAATTTAAAATACTTCCAGATTTTCTATCCTTCCAGATATATGTATTAGGAAATTTTTAGAATGTATGGGAGGCGACATGCTTCCTTTTTAATAACTCACATTTTTTCCATGAGTAATTGATACATTTTGTATACACAACTCTATAGCATGTTCCAGTATTCTTCCACTAACACATCCAGGGATATATGGCAAGAAAAAGTAAATTTGTACAGCAAGTGCCACGCCCCTTTTTCTTATAACTAGGGCTCGGATTTTTATGCAAATTGAATATGCAAATATATGCCTAAAATATGCAAGAATTATGCAAATAATATTAAAAAGTTTATAAAATGCTCATATGCATATGCTAAACAATTAAATACATAACACTTATGAAACAAGACTGAAGTCCTTTGCGGCAGAGGCACGGATTCTTGAGATCCCAACCATTGCCGAACTCCCCAGCGTCATATACCAGGAGCGCATCCTGGAGAAGAGGGAGGAGGTAATGGCAATCCTCTCTTCATCAGAGTCGAAAGAGGACCAATCTCTAGCAGGTCGAGAAGCTGCTCGCTGCTAACGACCCTACAATGACGGTATTGGTCCTCTTTCACAAACCTTGAAGAGGAGGAGGAGGAGGAAGTATCGAGACCAAACTCCTCCTGTCGCAGAATTCAGTAAGAGGCCCAGGTCTACGGAGGTTACTCCAGAAGCCAGTGGGACCTTGGTGGATGCACTGATATCCAAATCTGCTGGTGAACGTTGCAAGGGAAGAAAAACTGCGGTGACACAAACCAATGCCTGCCCCAATGCCTCTTCGAGTCATAGTGTGGCGGGTACTGGTGTGGCATTGCCCAATTCCGATCAGACAGACATACCTCTGGCGCCACGAAACCCTTGCCCAAAACAAAGAATAGAAGTGACGCAAGGGCCGATCGATGCAGAACTGTCCTCGCTGTGCCCTCGAAGCATCTAGGCCTTCCAACTACGCCTGAAAGGTCTGGGACGCCCGGTCAACTTATTGTGAGCTCGTAAAAGGCCTTTTGCCATTGCCGTAATGGGGAGGGCGGATTAGACTCGACGGTTGACGGTCTGGTACAAGTTGTGAAAAACCAAACCACAAAGCTGCGTTCACTCAAAAGGCCTGATGCCTCTTTAACGAAGACTAGTATTGAGATATTCTCTGTTCTTCTAGAGACTCCCTTTCCTGGAAATCAGGTCATGGTTACGCCTTCTTCTCCCTCTATCTGCTGAGTCGATTTATGTTGAGCTCGGTTATGTCAGGTTCCACTATTGAAGAGAAGGAGGCGCCGATAAGGAAGTTTGCCGGAGTCAATACCTCTAGGTCGCCAGGACTCTCTGTAATGGGACATAAAGGTCTAGAATTTACAATGGCAGAAATTTGACACACAAGTGTGCGTAGCTCTTCAAAATTTAGCGTTGAAAGGCCAACAACTCGGTGAAAATGATATTTGGCCATTTTTACTGCGGCTTCCCATAAGCCACCGAAGTGAGGGGAGCGAGGGGGTATCAACTTCCAATCAATCCCATCATTTGCGCACTGCTCGTGAACTACTTTCAAATGCTGTTGACTCAAAAATAAGTTCCTCAGCTCCAATAATTCATTCTTTGCACCAACGAAGTTAGTGGCATTGTCCGACCATATGGTTTGCGGTCTACCACGCATACAAATGAATCTATTTAGGGCTGCGAGAAAGGAAGAGGTTGCCAAATCTTTCACCAGCTCCAAATGAACCGCCTTGGTTACGAAGCAAATAAATATGCAAACGTAGCATTTACCTGGAGGTCGATTTCTAACGTCCGAGTTGTAAAAAAATGGTCCACAAAAGTCTACTCCGGTAATTAGGAATGCTAATTGCATTGAACTCTTTCAGATGGTAAGTTTCCCATTAAGTGTTCCATTAGTTTAGGTTTGACGTGAAAACAACGTATGCATTTGTTGATGACTCGATTCACGGTTTTGCGACCGCCCACAGGCCAGTATTGCAGACGAATGGATGCCAATAGCGATTGTGGTCCAGCGTGTAACAGTTTTCTATGAAAACTGCTGATGATTGCGTCAGTCACCGGGTGACGTTTTGGCAGAATAATTGGGTGTTTCGATGAAAACTCCAAATCCGAATTTTGAAGTCTTCCGCTGACTCGAAGCAATCCACGCTCGTCGAGGAACGGGTTAAGCGAACGAATTTCAGATGAAGTCTTTACCACCTCTCTAGCTTCGAGTGCTTTGTACTCGTCTCGAAGATGTGTTTTCTGTATCATGCGAATAAGCAAAAAGGTTCCTTCTTGTAATTCCATGGTGGTGAGGAATCCAGAACATCTCCTTACAGCTGGTCGAGAAAATCGATAAACGTAGGCATATACTCTCTGTAAGCGAACAAAAGAATTAACAAATTTGCAGTTTAATGAAATGTCTACTGTGGTAACAAATACAACAGCACGCTTTCGACTTTCCGGGCAGTCATTTATTGGTAGAAGAGGAGATTTCGGCCAGTTATGTTGACTGCTGGCAAGAAAAGATGGTCCGTATTTCCATAAGTCCATGTTCAACAGCTCCTTCGGACTAACTCCTCTTGAAATAATGTCTGCTGGGTTGGACTCAGTTGGAACGTAGCTCCAGGTCATTCCTTTAGTTAGGGTTTGAATTGCGTGAATGCGATTAGCGACAAAAACGTTGAAGTTGGCTGGCTCGTTACGCAACCACGACAGTACTATTGTGGAGTCCGACCAGCAAAATATCCTGCCTTTGAAATGCATGGAATTGATTACCTTGGAGACCAATTCGGCTAGCAGCAATGCTCCAGACAGCTCAAGCCTTGGTACCGTAAGAGTTTTAAGCGGGGCAACGCGCGATTTGGAACAAAGCAGATTGGTCTGAATGTATCCTTCTCTTTCAGCTCGTATGTATATGCAGGCCCCATAAGCAGCAACACTTGCATCACAAAAGGCATGCATCTGTAGGTCAGCTTCGGTCATCAGCAGGTATCGGTCGAAACTAAAATGTGCAACTAGCTTATATTGACTGCACATTTCCAGCCATTCCGATTGTATTGCCTGCGATGGGCTTTCATCCCAATGTAGCTTCTCCTTCCACAACTGCTGCAGGAATATTTTGGCCTTGGCCACCACAGGTCCGATCAAACCAAGCGGGTCATACAGTCTAGCAATGGCTGAAAGAATAGTACGCTTAGTTACCTTGGCCGGCGTTGCAAAAGGCGAAAATGAAAATATAAAAACGTCTAAACTGGGGTCCCAAACCAATCCAAGTGCCTTTGTTATGTGTGTATCATCATCGAACTTTAGGAATTCCTGTTTGTCATTAGCTGCTATATCAGTCAAAACGCGATTATCGTTTGAGCACCATTTTCTCAAATGAAAGTTTCCAAGAGACAGCAACTTCCTCGTCTGATTTAGCATAACCTTGGCTTCGTCCACCGAGTCGGCGCCGGATATCATATCATCAACATAGAATGCATGTTTTATTGTTTCAGCGCCAACCGGATAGAGGTGCGCTTCGTCCTGGGCAAGTTGCTGCATCGATCGAATCGATAAAAAAGAGGCAGGCTTTGTTCCCTAGGTGACGGTATCTAATTTAAAAATACGGAACTCTTCATTAGGGCTGTCTCTCCATATTATGCATTGAAGAAAGTTATCTGGATAAGACATTCTTACACAGCGATACATTTTACAAATGTCTGCTGTAAGAGCAATTTTAAATGTACGAAATCAGAGCAAAATATCAAAAAGTTGTTGTTGAATGGTTGGTCCTTTCATCAGGATCGAGTTCAGCGAACGTCCAGTGCTAGTGGGCGCCGAGCCATCAAACACCACACGCAGTTTTGTTGTTGTGCTATCGGCCTTTAAAACGCAATGATGCGGCAAAAAATTTATAGGAACTTTGCTTGGTATAGCGTCAACGACTGACATGTGATTCAAATCAAGGTACTCCTTGATAAACGATGAATATTGTTTTTTAAGTTCAGCATTTCGCTGCAATCTTCGTTCCAAAGCTCTGAACCGATTAACAGCCTGCTGATAAGACTCTCCCAGTTCGAACGAAGGTAATTTTGTTGGTAATCGAACAGAAAACTCACCGGATTTTAAACGTCTGTAGTTTTTTAAAAAATGAGCTTCACACAAATCTTCTTCTGCCGTAGTCTTTGGCGAAGATTCTTTACAGGTTTCTACTTCCCAAAAGCGTTCCACTAATTTGTTTAATTCGACATCAGAGTCATTTGTTAGAGCCATGTCGATGGCTGTTAGGCACGATAATTTTGCAGCGTTGTACGCAGTTGCGCCCGATACTATCCAACCCAATTTGGTTTTTTGCAAAATTGGCATACTTTCGGCCAAGCGTATTTGACCAACGCAAAGTAGGTCGAAAAATAAGCTAGCTCCAATGAGCATGTCAATGCGTTGAGGTTCAAAGAATAATGGATCCGCTAAGCGTATATTCGAAGGTATGTTCCAATCAACGCATTTTAACGAGCGACTTGGTTGAATATCGGTAATGGTGGATGTGACGACTGCTGTCAAGTTAGCCGTATAATCAGTAATACGCGAATGGAGCCTTAAATCAACGATATGATTGGTGGCGAAATCATTTTGGCCTATGCCAGAAATGAACTGTGACGAGTTAACTTTCTTTAACTGAAGCTGACTAACAAGTCGATTGGTTACGAAGTTGAGTTGTGACGCAGAATCTAGCAAAGCTCTGCAGGGAATGAGAGAGCCAGATCGATTTTTTAAATAAATGATGGCAGTTGCTAAGAGAACGAAATCTCGGTTAGCAAAGCTAGCTTGAGCTTCAGAGCTGACAAGTGCAGAAGCTGATGGGCCGAAGGTTGAAGACGAATGTGGCAAATACGGGTGCATAGAAGTGGGGAGCATTGTTGTTGCTTGTGCTTGCGATGGGGATTTAGCACACGTCAATGTTTCAGAAGAATTCGCAAATGAATTTGTGTCTTGATGAAGCAGACTGTGATGCTTCGACGAGCAATGCCTACACTGGCCGGACTTACAGTCCTTAAGAGAGTGACCACGTCTCAAGCAATTCAAGCAAAGGTGCAACCTTTTTGCTTCTTTGTAACGCATTAAAGGCGACAGGCCTAAAAATCGTTCACAATTTGCAATTCGATGTTCGCTAGAGCTGCATAATGTACACCCAACTGCAGCCGATGTTAACGAAACCTTGCGATTGTTGTTGTTATAAGACAGTTTCTTTCCTACCTGTTTTTCCGGCGTCGCAAGAGCGTTTTCTACATTTTCCAGTCGCTGACAGCGTTGTTCTAAAAATGTAGCCATCGAACCCCACGTTGGTATTTCGTTTACAGGTGTTTGCTCCTCCCATTTGGCACGAGACTTGATGTCCAACTTTTGAGAAACTAGCTGAATTAATAAACAGTCGGCGATCTGCTCCTTTGTTCCCACAGTCTGCAACGCGCGCAAGTGAGCATTTAGAGCATCGCTGAGTTCACGAAGTTTGGCTACCTTTTCACCCTCTACCCTCTTCAGCTGAACAATATCTCTGATATGAGCCTGGAAATTCAAACGTTTATTATTGAACCGAGCCTTCAATAAACAAATGGCCTTATCATAGTTGGGTTCACTTATTTCTAACGACCGAATTGTATCCAGGGCGGCATCACGTAGACTTAATCGAAGGTGTTGGAATTTCTCGATTCTTGTCAAATCAACGTCTTGATGGACCACGGTGTTGAACATCGAGAAAAAGTCGGGCCATTCTGCATAGTTACCGCTGAACTTTGGTATTTGCAGTACAGGTAACCGTTGCTTCGCTTGAGCGACGATGAACGATGATTGATCTCCAGAAAACGGCCGCGACGTAGAACTAGGAGCCACTGAAGCTCGGCAAGCGTGCAGTTGGCGTGTCAGCTTAGTTTTCGCCTCAATATAATGGTTGGTGAATGTGGTCAAAAGATCATCAGCGTCGTTGTCCTCTAGCTGCATGTGAAGGGCATCGAACCTTTTCTCCAGGCGATCCATTTGCTCGATACGTACCTCTACTGCAGCCTCGTCGAACTCGCGCAGGGCTTCGAAAGTCAGAGAGTTGTTGGTTTCGGTTATTTGTTGAGCAAAAGACTCAAGGTTCTTCTTGGCTTCAGCTGAGTCAATCTTCTTAGATGGTGCCGTTTTTGAATATATAAGCACACGAAAAATAATTAAGTACGACGTTTGATCAATCAATTTTACGAGTATTGATTAAATCACGTCGGGGTCACCAGTTATTAAAAATTTATAAGTGAAAAACTGTAACATATGCCTTGATTTACATTTTTGTCTGTTGGTTTTATTATTGTTGTTGGATTGACTTCAATTGGTTATGAGAGAGGAAGTACAGGTGTACCAATAAGAATATATATAAAAAGTATGAATGTCGTTAGAACTTGGAAAGATAGCGGCGGCTGATATAAAAATCGTTACACCATGTTACAGTTTTGCTCGTCACTGTATGTTCAAAGTGTAAAATATGTAAATGTACCTACACTTTCCCATGAATACCATCAAGTCGTTGGTCTTGAAGGGAATATAAGTATGTATGCATGTACTAAGAAAATATATGAGCAAATTAAAAAGTCGATACAATGTACAGTCGAAAAACACAGTTTTTGTATAGATTTCGTACTGAAAGAACAATTTCATCTCCCAACACTGCGCTATGCTGTTTGACGTTTTCTTCGCATTTCGCTTCACTGTGCTGTCACATTGGAAAATAAAGGTTTATTTTTGTCACTATTATCCGAAAATGTCTTGTCGCTCTCTTTGTCGCGTCACCACTAGGGATGTCAATTTTCGGGGTTTTGCCGATCCCGGGATTTTCGGGATCTGAAAATACAATCCCGGGATCCCGGGATTGTCCCGAAATTCAGGTAAAAGTGCAACACATCTGTGATCATCCTATTATAGTATTTTAAATCAGATTGATATAACAAAAAAGAGTACAATTTATTGTAATTCATTTACATATTTATTAAGGCGATAAATCAGTATTTTCAATCAACAAAAAACAAACATAAAATTTGACAAACATATATGTATGTATGTACATATCCTCATTAATTTATAACATAGTTTTTGTACTACAAGTACAAATGCATATACGGTCACTCCGAGAAATATTTTGCATAGATTTTTTTTTGCAATATTCAGAATATTTTTCATGGTATTTTTTTTTTGTTAATTTAAAAAAATATATACGTATGTGCAATTTTGAAGTTGCTAAACCATCCCGTTGACATTATATATATTTTTTTTTGCCACAAAAAAATTCGTTGTAAGGAAGAAAATGCCCAACATCGTCAGTAAAAAAAATTCAAAAATCAAGGGAGTTTTTAGCAACTTTAAAATTGCACTTTATTGTATTAAATTGAATGGGCTATAAAACTGCATAATAGAATTTTTTTTAATTAACAGAAAAATAACATGAAAAATATTTTGAATATTGCAAAAAAAATCGATGCAAAATATTTTTGTAAGTGACTGTATTTGGTACAGCAGTAACTGCCGATGTAACTATATAAAATTTTTTAAATCACTGTTTGAGATCAATTTAAGATATTATCAGTATATTTAAGTAATAATAAAAAAGTTAACACATTTAAGTAAAAAATAAATATATAAGTGCATCACCTATTCCATTTTGAGAGAAGCAAAATTATTCCTTCTTTTGATGGAAATGCGATCTTAAAGAAATTATAGCATTAGGGTTGCAAAAAATTCTTGTTTTGCCCTTGAGAGGGGATATTTGTGATAAAAATTTAATTGGCTAAAAATCGGTAATCGCTTTTAGTGGTAACGTGTTCTAGAAGGCATAGCGTTATAATGCCTTCGAATTTTTTTGCTTCTTTTAGGCATTGCCGGTAATACAAAGTAGAATATTTTATTTATTTCGCTTCTTTGTTTCATTTCGGGGAATGCAAAGTAGAATGTCCTATAATATATTTTTTTTCGCTTCTTTTCTTAATTTCGTGGAATGCAAAGTAGAATGTCCTACAATATTTTATTTGTTTCGCTTCTTTGCTTCATTTCAGGGAATGCAAAGTAGAATGTCCTACAATATTTTTTTTGTTTCGCTTATTTGCTTCATTTCGGGGAATGCAAAGTAGAATGCTGCATCGTAGTCAGCTGAAAAATAGAATGAATATCCAAAAATCCTTTTTCTACCGTTACTTTCTGTGGGAATTTGTATCGCATAAAAATCATGTTTTGTTTTGTTAAATTTGCAGCGAAGTTGAAGTCAGTCAATGAAGTGAAGTACAAGAGTGAGGAAGTACATTTTTAAGCTTAATTAAATATGCATGTATGTACATACCGATTTTTAAGTAAAATCTAAATACATATATATGTATGTATAAAAACTTATTTATAAAAATTTTAATCTTTTAAGACATTTTCTGATTTCATATTATTTAATATAAATAAGCATGTACTTATCTAGGCATTCTACATTAGTTTCTCTGTGAGGCATTCTTTGTTCGTTTCTCTGGATTCTGTTTATCCATGCGTTCTCCCTTCGTTCGAAGGTAATGCTGCGGGTAAGGGCTTACGGCCAATGACATGCCCATGTTAAAATAATGCCTTCTTGAAGCGATAGGGTAAGCGATTCCCATTGCCTAGCTCGTTTCCACTTTAGTTTCTGTGGTAATCGTGTTTTTTGCTGGGCATGTTCTCTGCCTAAGTAAAAACACTATCAGCTGATTGCGAAAGAATACCTACAGCTGAGATCACATTTTTTTTGGCATTTGCCATTTCTAATACAATTTCTTCCATTTCTATTACAATTTATTAAAAATACACACTGAACCAAAAACACCAATACACTAACCAAAAACACACCTGCAGCCTGCCAAACACACACCTACAGCCTGCCAGAAAAAATGGTAAGAAGAAGAGCTACGTTACTTATAGAACTCTACGATGGTATGACCGCCTGGTATTGAGAAATGAATATATCATTTTGTACAAATAAAAAATTGGTTCGTTATATAAAGTTGACCTCAAATATTCTTAAAAATATGCAGTTGGCTTTAAAATTCATGGATTGAATAATGAAAGCTGTTGCGTACTTTTGGTTATAGATGATGCTTGACCAAATTATAGCAATAGTAGAAAAGTAGAAGTAAAACGACATTTTCTACTATAAAGATTTTCTTCTAGGGCCAAGGCATACTTTTTCAGTGTAGTACTGGATGATCAAATTGTATTCATTCAACCAAAATTTACAATCAAGGTGATTGCCAATGATTATGTTACATCCACATTCTCTTTGTGATATTTCGGTTTCGTTCTCTGTCAGAAAGTTTCTGAGAATTTAGTTTCTAAATGGTTCTTCGCAAGAAAGTTCCTTAGACTTTTGTTCCCGTTTTTAGCTTTGCCAGAATGTTTCAGAGACTTTTGTTCCCATTTTGTTATCTTAGAAATGCTTCCCAAAGTATTGTTCACATTTTGTTTTTTTTTTTTTTGAAACGTTCCACAAGGTTATGTTCTTAAAAAATTCCCGTTGAAAACGTTCTCGACAGTTTTGTTCTACCTTTCGTTCTTGTGAAAACGCTCCCAAAGGTTGTTTTCTCATTTCGGTTTGGCTTTTTAATCGTCTTTGGGAACAAAACTACGAGAGCGACATTTAGTTTCGATCATACCTTTTGTTCTCGGTCCCTGCTTATAACCTATTTTGGTTTTTGTAAAAAATTTATGGATTTCAACTGTTTTTTCACTCAGATGTTAGTAATTGTTGCGACTTCGAGATAAAATGGTAAAATTGTCGTTTCATTTTTATAAATTTTTGATTTATATTTTATGAGAATTTTTTCGAAATAAAATTTAGGAAAAACTATTTCTTTTTGTCAATGTTATTGTGGCTTATTAAAATTTTATTTTTAATATTTTTATTGAGCTTTGTACCACGATTGTTTATTAGGAAAAATTGAAAAAGTAACAAAGTCTAAGCGGTAGAAGTTATAGCAGCTATTTCGGAGATCACCACATCTCCTCATCAGACTTCTTTTTTCTAGACTTCAGCAAGGATCGAACCTGCGTAATCGATATGCAAAGTCAGAAGCGTTAACCACTGAGCTATGTACACCCCATAAACTTTTGTTGCTAATTCATTTTCCTTATTCAACCAACTACTATCAAGTGCACCTGAGGAGATACGGTGATCTCCGAAAGAGCTGCTATAACTTCTACCGCTTACCCTTTGTTGCTTTTTAAATTTTTCCTAATAAACAGTCGTGGTACAAAACTCAATTAAAACAAGTAAGAAAGTCTAAGTTCGGGCGGGGCCGAACATTAAATACTCGGCGCCAGTATTAAATATATGTTTTTTCACCTTTCCGAAAGCTACCGCTACATGGTAAGCCGGGGTGTATCAATTTTGAGTAAATTAGCGTCCTTAAATTTCCAAAGATTGAAGTTTCAAGAATTTCTGAAATTTACCGTTATATGAAAAGCGGCCGTAATTTTAGTCCGATTTCAATAATTTTCGCTGGGTCACGTCTAGGAATCGAGATATATCGATTTGAAGTTAGTTACTATCATATAGGGGAAATTGTCACCTTTGGTGGTGAGATACCTTCACTTAATTGTGAATAAAAGCGAAACGCGTCCATCGATTTTCATGATCTATGTCTCATTTTGCTTAAAGGTTTGCGTGAAAGTAATACGACTTGCCTTTTTTCCGTTTTGGATTTTTTATGAATTTAAAAAATAAAAAAATTTAATATTTTAGGCATTTCTTCATACATTTATTTTTACCGGCAAAACTGTTGATTATATAGAAAAACGTTATATGAACAGATTAAAGGAATTGTAATTTTTAATTTTTTTAAATTTGTTTGAGCAAAATCGGACTAGTGGTTCTCGAGTTATGTCAAAAAAAAGACCACCAAAGGTGACAATTTCCCCTATATGATAGTTACTAACTTCAAATCGATATATCTCGATTCCTAGACGTGACCCAGCGAAACGCCGGGACACGTATAACTTCT